GCTGTTGCTGCTGCTGCTGCCGCTGCTGCTTCTACTGCTGCTCGCCGCCCCCGGCGCTTCTGCCTACAGCTTCCCCCAGCAGCACACGTAAGTGGCCTCCGCCGGCCGCGGGACCCCACCGAGCCCTGCGCTCCCCTTAGTCCTTCAGTCGGCGCTGGTTCCTCCAGGCGATCCTCTTTGGAGCGGGGGCGCTGAGTCCCGCGGAACGCTGCGCCCGGGGGCGGTGGCCCCAAGCCCCGAGGGCTGGCTGCCACGGTCCCGGCGCTTCTAGCTGCGTCGCGAAACTTCCCCGCGGTGCCCCTGCTTCACCCAAACCCCCAAAGGGAGCAGGGCAAGATCTCCAAGCCCCGGGATGGGGAGAGGGTCCGAGTCTGTCAGCTGATTTTCCTGCCACTGTCCCGGTGAGAAGGAAACCTGGGGGTTGGGTAAGGGGGCTGGCCAGCGACCCCTGCCCGATAGAGTTGGAGCGACGCATCTGCCCCACGTTCTCTCCCCGGTGGGAACCTGGCGCTTTAGAGTCAGAGGTGGGGTCACCTCCACACCTGCCTTTTTCTTTCGAAGGGGTCTGGATGCAGAGGGTGTGAGCACCTTCTTGCCGGTGATTCCTGTCGCCTGTTCTTGGGGGTCCTTGAGGGGAGTGTTCCTCAGGATCGAATTGGGAGGTAAAGGTGCTGGGGTTCGGACAGAAGGTGAATGGGGGTGAGGACCCCTGCTTGCCCCTGCTGCTGCTGCTGCTGCCACTGCGCTGCCAACAGTGTGATAGCATCTCAGGCTCTGCCAGCCTCTGCTGGTGCTCTTGGTCTTTCTGAGCCTCCTTGCTCTCCCAAAGAACCCGCAAACTAAGCCAGATGTGTCTGGGCTGGGAGTGGGTATTCAGTGTGAATGGCCTTTAGGACAGCATCTGTTTCCTGACACCATGCCCCAGCCATATGTCAGTACCCAGACAACCCTTTGGGGAATGGTGACCAGCCTGCTTCTGTTTTCTGTCCCTGAGTCTGAGGAGCCACCTGTCCCTGCACTCTTTCTTTAGTGTCCTGGCCTAAGGTTGGGGGCATGAGGAGTTGGGCTGCTGGTTGCCAAGGGGAAGGGTCTGGCCTCAGGGAAAGGGGAGGCTGGCTCTGCGTCATTAGAACATTTCTGCTCAAGGGTAGGAGCCCCTAGTTCTGCTACAGAACCTGCCAACTCCAGCTAGTAGGTTCTCCCAAATGAGAAAAAAAACAAACTCGGAGAAGCACTGCTGTGAGTCTCTCTCCGTCTTGTCATCTCTCCGAGCTCAGCCTGGCTGTGCTCAGGCGGGTGATCAGTTGGCAAATTACAGGTGCCGCACGGACGTGTCCTCTGTCAAATGTCTGAATTTTTTTTGTGTGTGTATGGGGTGGGGGGAGTGCACAGAGAAAAGAGAATTGTGTGGAAGTTCAGAGCTGATGGGTGCATTATCGTCTTTCCTTTGCAGTATTTAAAAAGAGCAAAAACATTATTTTTGTTGTTCTTTCTTGTTCAAAGCCAAGCACAAGCCAAGCCACAGTTATTTTTTCCTCCCCGTTTCATAGCTCCTTGAGTGACGGTTTAAGTAAACGTCTTTTTCAGCATCTCCTGACCTCGCTTCCCTTCCCTGTATCCTGCAGTTGTTCATATGTTTGCTGGGCCTGCATGGGTCTCCCCTAGAAGGCCAGAGTAAGACCCTGACCAGAGTGGACACCTGTCTCTCTGTTTCCAGCCAGAAGATGGTGAGGCGGGTGTGATGGCAGCGGCACATTTCCAGCTGGACGCTCTTCTCTTGTCGATATAGTTGGAGCTAATTTGAGGGTTTGGGACATGTCTTGCAAACCATAATTAGGGAATGAGAGTGGGGATGAGGCAGGGATTGTGGTGCTCTGAGGGTCCAGGGGGAGGTGACTAATGGTGTGACATCGTGGAGGGTTTGCCACGACAGCCAGCGCCCTTCAGCTGCCCTGGTCCGGCAGATGCAAATGCTTTTTGATCCTTGGAGGGAGAAAAGGAAGGGAATCTTGAGGTCTCCTCCCTATATGACCATAGCTGGTTGGAGTTGAGGCTTTTGTTGAACTGACATAAAAGGCTGGGGCTGCCATTGGGACCAGAGGGCTTGGTGTGCCTCCTCTGGGGTGAGTGGCTGGTCAGCATGGCCAGGCCAGGATGACATTGATACAGGTGGATTTCCAAGGTGGGGAGTGGAGCCCTAAGCCTTAAGGTATTGGGGTGACAACTTCTCAGTGGGGAGGGCCCTGATGGTCAAGTAATTTCCTTCCTCATTAGTGTCTGCCAGTGTGAATGGGCTCAGCTTTGTAAGCTGCTGGGTTTAAATCAAGTGCGGTTTCGGGGTCCGTTGGCTGTTATTTCTATAATAGCTCTGGCAGCATGGCTCTCTGCCTACCAGGCGAAATGGACCAAGGCTGCCACCAGATTGAGAAGGGCAAAGGAGTTGCTGCTGGAGGGAGGACAGGACTTCAGTTTTAAGGAGGGGGCCTTTCTCTTATTCCACCTGGACCTGGATCGGGGTTTCAAAGTAGGAAGCGAGCATGTGTGCATTGTGTGTGGGTGCGTGTGCATTGTGCGTGTGCGCATATGTGTATTCGTGTGTCTGGAGGGATGGAGTTAGAGCACACTGCCTTTCATCTCCTGTTTCCAATTATGCCCATCCCAGTATTCAGGCAGGGGATGTTTTCCTCACTGCTATTTGCCCCTGTGTCTTTACCTCTTCTCTCCCCTGTCCCCTTTCTTTGAGTCTGTCATCTTTTTTTGGTCCTGCTTCCATGTCTATTCCTCTCATCAATCTGTGCCCACCCTAATCTGTCTGTCTCTTCTGTCTTCTCTGTTAGGTCATGGTTCCCTGTTCTCTGGTATCCCTGGGCTTCTCTGGCTAAGTGCTGGGTGGAGTGCCTGCTTGAGCTGCCCACCTGGCTGCATTCTTTAGCCTAGCACTGCTCCAGTGGTGGTGTGGGCCAGGACTTCCCTTCCTCTGGGGGTGGGTGGGGGGAAGCAGTGAAGGGGCCTGAAAGGTTTGGACCCCCTAGCAAATTAACAATGCCCGAGTACCTATGTGCTCATCTCCTGGGTGGACACACAGGGAGCAAAGCCCACGATGGGGCATGCGTCAGTCTAGCTATGGTTAATGGTGGGTGACGTGTGTCTGTCTGGGTTTCCCAGCCCCTGTCTCCACCTCCCTGTGGCTCTCCCTGTCGGAGGGAGGCAACATTACACATCTGGGTCCCTCATCTTCCCAACAACCTGCCGCAGCTTTTGCAGGAGGGAGGGGTGAGGCTTTGTGGCCTGCTGCTACCGTCACTGGAATGCAGCGCTGCCAGATGCTCCGCATCCCTCCTGTTGTTGAGGATTTGGGGGAGATGCTTGGCTGTTGTTACCTGTTCTGGATCCCGACTTTACTGGGTGCCTCCTCCAGGCTAGCTATATCAATTCTCTGAGAAAGCAAGAGACCCATTTTAAGATGCGTCCCCTCATAGTTTGAGGGCGAGTCTCATTCCAGATTCCTGGTCACACTCACATCCTCAAGGAGAGACTGACCCCAGAATGAAACTGGCCTCAAAAAATGGAGTAAGCCTTCTGCAGTGTCTTTTTCTCTCCTCTGCCTGGGTACAGGTAGGCATCAAAAGCTGATAGTGTTCAGGTGGACACTGTCAGCTCTTGGGAGGAGCAGGGTGTCAGGTATAATCCCTGTGTGCTCATACTTTGGCCTCCAGAGCTGACCCTCTCCACTTGGATAACCTTATCTCAGTTTCTCCAACTGAGATAATACGATTCCCTTAGGAGGCTGGTGGGAAGAATGAATAGGGTTGGGTAGCCTCTGGTGGGCAGGGGTGCCATGACAGCTACTGTTCATACTAGCATCAAATCCAGGTGCCACAGGTCCTCCCTTGCCAGTTTTCTCACAATGTTCACACAGGCTAAATGCCTTCTTGTCTCTGCTTTGTTCCTGCTATTCCATCACCACTGCAAGCTTTTCTCACACCCATACCTTCTAGAGGCCTCCCCTGTCCCAGCTCTGGACTGTGGCACGTCGGCTCCTCCAGGACAGTCACCAACCATCTCGCTCCTTTCTTCCCTCCCTTCAGCAGCAACTTCAGCCCAGCTCATCTGTGGTGGTGGAGATTGCCAAGCTAATGGTGGCCTTCCCTCACTGAACCCAAGCCAGGCTGCTTACTCACATTGCCACCTTGATCTCAGGACCTCTGTTCACGCCCATCCCACAGTTGCCGAGATTGAGACTCAGAAAGACCTGCACAAAGTCCACAATGACTAGAGGAAGGACTGGTAGAATACTACTCTGACAGACATGTAGCTGCCCTGCCAGGGGGCTGGGAACTTCTGGGTAGTGGGTCCAGGAAAGGGAGACACTGGAAATACAAGTCTGGGGAGAACACAAAGACGCATAGGATATAGAATATGGGCCAACGTCTTCCAGGTGCAACTTTTCCTCCTCTGGGTCTCAAGAAATCCTGAGGGACTTTCCTTGGCCAAGGTGGCCCTTGCCAGGTCCCACCTTGCCTACCTACCATGTTCATGCAAACCATCTGGGAGCACCCCAGCCCAGAATTGTCCTTTTCTCCCCAAGGCTTTTTTCTATTTTTTTTTTTTTTTTTCAGTGCAGGAGCTTGAACCCAGGGCCTTGCCTGTTCTGGGCAAGCACTCTGCCACTGAGACCCAATCCTCCCCAAGGCTTTTAATCATGGGCCAAGCCTACTTGGCAAGGAGCCTTGGTAGAGGGGAAGAGGGGCTCTATATCCAGATTCCAGAATGATTCTGAAAAGGTGATGGAGTGGGGGTGGAGCTGAGAGTTTGTTAATGGGAACTTGAAGCTGGATCCTCTCCGCAGTTCTGCCAGGCCCAGGGACTTCAGAGGACTCGGGTCTTCTAGGTGCTTGGTGGGTTCATGCTGTATGGAGTTGGGGGATCCTGGGAATCAGGATTCTCAAGGGCTTATTGCTATCCAGGGGTCTTCTGGAGGTTTGGGAGCAGGCCTGGGCCCTGTCTGGCACAGTAGTGTTGCCTATGGGATGGGAGTGGTCGATTTCTCTTCCCCTTTGGCCCTGATTCCTACTCTACACTGAGAT